GACCCCTGTAGTATCCTAAAATCAGACTCCAACTGCATTAAAGCTTGGTCCGCTGTTGGAGCAATAGAGTACATCAGTGTCATCTGCATATAAATGGAATTTACAATATCTGACATCATCACCAATATTGTTTATATAAAGTGAGAACAATAGTGGGCCAATTATTGAACCCTGAGGGACCCCTTTAAGTAACTGTAAGGGGTCAGACTTGACCCCGTCGACCATGACGGCCTGAGTTCTATCTTTAAGATAGTCATAAAACCATCGACAGGCATCAGTGCCCAGTCCTATAGATGACAGCTTACTCAAAAGGATAGCATGGTCTACAGTGTCAAAAGCTTTTGACAAATCTACAAACAACGCAGCACAGTGCTTTCTATCATCTAAGGCATTTGCAATATCATTTACAACAAGCATAGTGGCCGATGTGGTACTGTGTTTAGATCTAAAACCAGATTGATTGGTGCTAAAAATACTGTTAACAGAAAGAATAGATTGTAACTGTTTGTTGACTATAGATTCTAGGATCTTTGCCAGACAAGGGAGCCTAGAGATGGGTCAAATCACTACAGTTCATATAAAGAAATCAGGGCAGGGGCGCAGCCATGGGTGGGCCTGGGAGGGCATAGGCCCACCCACTTGGGCTTTATTACAGACAGAAATACTCCTCAGTTTCATCAGCTGTCCGGGTGGCTGGTCTCAGACGATCCCGCAGGTAAAGAAGCCGGATGTGGAGGTCCTGGGCTGGCACGGTTACGCGTGGTCTGCGGATGTGAGGCCGGTTGGACGTACTGCCAAATTCTCTAAAATGATGTTGGAGGCGGCTTATGGTAGAGAAATGAACATTACATTCTCTGGCAACAGCTCTGGTGGACATTCCTGTAGTCAGCATGCCAATTGAGACATCTGTGGCATAAAGCTGCACATTTTAGAGTGGCATTTTATTGTTCCCAGCACAAGGTGCACCTGTGTAATGATCATTCTATTTAATCAGCTTCTTGATGGATTATCTTGGCAAAGGAGAAATGCTCACTAACAGGGATGTAAACAAATTTGTGCACTAAATTTGAGAGAAATAACCTTTTTGTGCGAATGGAACATTTCTGGGATCTTTTATTTCAGCTCATGAAACATTGGAGCAACACTTTACATGTTGCATTTATATTTTAGTTCAGTGTATATATATGTCCATCTCTCTCTCAACCGCAACAGCTGTCTCAACCTCTGAATGCTCAGCTATGAAAAACCAACTAACATTTACTCCTGAGGTGCTGACCTGCTGCACCCTCTACAACCACTGTGATTATTATTTGACCCTGCTGGTCATCTATGAACATTTATACATCTTGAAGAACGATCTGGCCTTAATGGCCATGTACTCTTATAATCTACACCCGGCACAGCCAGAAGAGGACTGGCCACACCTCAGAGCCTGGTTCCTCTTTAGGTTTTTACTAGCCACTGTGCTTCTACATCTGCATTGCTTGCTCTTTGAGGTTTTAATATAGGCTGGGTTTCTGGATAAACACTTTGTTAAGACTGCTGATGTAAAAAGGACTTTATAAATACATTTGATTGATTGACGGTGCATTTAACTACATGCAATAAGCATGTCTGAAGGTCAAGACAAAGCAAGTGGAGCTGAAAGAGGAGCAATACGTCACTGAAACAATGTTATGATACCCTTCTGCCACCTAGTGGATAATAGCTATACATACAGCTTCACTTGGAAGTGATTTGATATCCTCTCTCTTATAGCGCTGATCAGTCATGGAGGACTAATATCGTTGATGTCAAGATTACATTTTAGAATGAAAACACCAAAAAGGCTATATATTAAAAGATTGTTTTATTCACAATAGAAGTGTAACAAATATAGTTTATGAAATTTTTTGCTGCTCATTAATATTATTTAATACATAAATTTTATATAAATGTAGAATGGACTATTTACATTTTAATAATAAGAAAAAAAAACGAGAAAGAAACAGAACAGAACAATTTCCCACAAAATTAAAATAGCATATTAACCAAAATAAACTATGTGCAATGGAATGATTATCAGCAATATTGTACAGTTTACATTTCTGAGGTTGTTTCACGAAACCATTAACAAGAGATTCACAAATAAAAGGCATTGTAATGCGAGAGATCGTCAACACAATATTCAACCACAAAGTCGATTGGAAATGAACAGCACGTCTTCTAGTCTGCGTATTGAAAGAAAGATGAAAGGAAATGTGTCATGTTTCTCAGTATCACTACGAGTCATCTCTTCTGCTCCCTAAAGCTGCAACAGTCAAGAGGAGACACTTAGAGCCAATATAGGCTTGATCCGAAAATGTGTTCGGAGGCGCTGTATGGATGGTGTGACGCAATTGCGGCGCCTCCAGAGGCACTCAAGAGGCCACATTGAACTCTGTACTGCATCGCTGTGCGCCTCTGAAGTGTTGTAACAATACGGAAGCCTCCGTACAGCTCCACATTGACATGATTGGTTGACGGTAGGTGAAGGCGGGAGGTCCTGTATAAACAAAAACTCACTTCCTTGACAGCTTCCTTCACAACAGCTCTGCGCTGCTCCGCAAAGCACACAAAGTATGAATGCCCAGACTTCTGCAGAGGCCGTATCACTGTAAATGCTGCACGGCCAATGCAGATTGACCATGCAGCGCCTTTTAGGCTCTCAGAAAAGGTGAATGCAGCAATGTCATATCTACAGTGTCTAGTGAGTCTGAATGGCTGCCATAATGAACTAGGTGGCAGGGGGATCTCAGCGTATATGGACATCACAGTTTCCCTCATTAATATTGCTTCCTCCAGTAAGGTAAACAGGTATTATTATGACTTTGTCTTAATAAAGAATAGTAGAGAAAGCTGAGGCTGCCCTACTGGGCGTTTCAATAGGAGCTCTGGAAGAGTGTGGCTCCAGCAGTGGGCTGATATCAGTGAGGCTCCTTAAACCTTTGGTCTATTTTCTATTGTCAGAATATTACTTCAACAAACATGAAGGCCCTTCAAGACCTCTTGATCCTACCCCATCTATTTCCCAATAAGATGTATGGGGAGCCATGCGTTTTAGCAACATCAGCGCCCCCTGTCTGTGAAAGTACACTACTGAAGAACAGAACCTTTTGACTAAGGTTTCATACTAACACACTCCTCTACGATGAGACAACTGAGGGAGTTTAGATGGGTCCTGTGGTCACCTGAACAGCCATGTCTGAGTATCCATAAACTTCCATGGTCCTGAGTGTGTTTTAGAGTGTGTGTAGTGTGAGCGTCTATGTATGATATGTCCCGTATGTGACCATTTCAATCTATTTGTCGCCTTTTCTTTATTAAGTATTCAGCATGTTTACATGTTCATATGTGAGTGTATTTCGTCCAGTGTAGTGAACAGAGAACCTTACTTGCATCTTCTCATTGCATTTCAACACAACTAAACAACTCCTCTTGTGCTTCCTCTTATTCTCCTGAACTGACTAACAGCTTCCTCTGATGGGTACCACGACACATTCCTTCAGCATTTTGTGCTTTCCAGAAGAAAGGAATCAACAGACAAATCAACAAATTAAGAACAAAGGCAAAATAATCTTACACTTCACATTTGATGGTACATTCATACGATGCATTCGTTCCTTATGATTGACTCCCAAGTTCTTGGTCTGACTCTGCCCTTGTCTCCCCCACACTGTCTCCCCCCACTCCCAAATAATCCACCAAACAACAACACAGTGCCCTCTCCACAGTGCCACCTAGGGGCCTGATCCCAAACCTTCCAATGTACTACGGAATAAATTATCAGCAAATCAACTATTTTACATCACATGGATTCATTGTCTCTACCACCTCTAATAAAGAAAAACAAAGAAAAACACACATCAACTTTGTCAATTTAAGAACAAAGGAACATGATGATGGAGTTGGGAAATAAAGTGAGCTCTGACAAACTGACTAGGCTGAATTAATTGATGACATGTTGATAGAAGGGATGAAATCTACTGTCCCCACACGTTCCATATTTCAGGAGGAAGGGACCAAGCTAAATGGTAAACGTGTCCACTTCATTAACTGAGAGGTTGTCCTCAGTGCAGGTCTTTTCCCCATGATGTCATCCCCTTTATTACCCTACTGCGATCTGCTACACTCAACTGACTGGAGGACTGGACTGTTGTAGTACTGGTTGTCCAACACTAGATGGCAGTGTGGTAGAGGTGGTGATAAAACCACTCCATGCCAATTCCACCTGGACCATCTGCTACCTACCTACCAGACTACCTGTATAAATAAAATCCTTGCAATTTGCCTGAACTGCTTATTCGAGAGACCATTTTAGACTGAAAGGCACTATTTTGACTGGATTTCAGCTATAGCGCAGGTGAGAATCAAGCTCTGGGTCTTTAACAGAAATCCACCTAAATGGTCCATTGTTTAAGTGCAACTAAAATCATATTTACGATAAGAACAACACAAATGAGATAATATGTTGATTGACATAACCTCTGTTTTCAGTCACACCCACAATCACATACCCGAAATGCATGGAAAGAAAGAAAATGATAAAGCTGTACTCAAATCAGTATGGCTTTTTTGAATGACGGTGAATCTTACAGCGTAGTAGTGTCCTGTTCTCCTCACAGAGGAGGGTAGATCCTACAGCCTCTACAGCACTGGGAGGGGAGCATGCAGACGGATTGCTATCTCTAGAAGATGACAAGACAAGCACTCATGGACGTGGTGGTTCTGAGTGGTGGTTCCCAGTGCCCAGTAGAGGGCAGTCTGGGTCATGAGAGGCAGGCAGCCCGGTCGGTTTACATCTGGTCTGATCATGGACTCATAAACAGGAGAGAGTCCAGTCCACTAGGGGAGTGGCCTGCCTGGGTGAGCTCCACCCACGGTGGGGGTGAAGTAAAAGAGACAGCTCCGCCTACTGCTCAGAGAGGGAGGGGTTAGAGGAGTTCCTTGATGGGTGGGGTCAGGTCAGGGGGTGGTCCACTCTACTCCAGCTGGTTGTGCTTGTCTGTGTCTGTCATCTCCTTCTTGATGACAGGGAGAGGGTGGGCCTCGGTGTTGAACACCCAGTGCTCCAAGGGAAGATGGTCGTCATCAGAGAACAGCAGGAACAGGTATCTGAGGGAAGGAGAGCGAGACTCAATTTAGCTCAAACACTCATTTCTGATCAACATGAGGCCCTAAGAGATCCCAGATATTTATATCAACAACCTCCACTCCTAGTTGTTGTCCATGAGTGCATCAGTCTGAGAGAACATCTACTAGATGTCTGAGAGTGTCAGAGAGGACGGTGGGCCCAAAACCAACTCAGGGAACAAACAGCTCAGCAACTCTCCCATGCCAATATTTTCTCTGCCAAGCTTGGGATGAGCCAAGCCAACAATGTAGAATAATGAATAAATTAAAAAATCCTGCCGCCTGCCAAAAGCTATTAAGCTCGGCGTGAAGTTTTTGCGAGTGAACCAGTCGCAAATGAAAGGTTGAGCCCAGCAGCAGCAGTTGGAGGAGTGCAGGTAGGCCTATACCTTAAAAGTCCTTAAATCAGGTGCAGAGGTGACACTCGTTAAAATTTACAGACTATAAAATGGACAGGGGTTGGATGACGCCACACCCGCCCTCCATTTCCAGAGGGAGAGGGAGAGGGAGAAGCAGAAGCAGAGTAGTCTGGGCGATTAGTGATTTTTGAGATCTGTTCTGTTTCGGTTCGATTATTAAAAAAGTAATTACGGTTTTCAATTTCAATTATTTGGGTTGAATGCTGTAAAAACATAGAATAAAACAATTAATAAAAGTCCCATGATGGTAGTGACTGCCCATTACTGCTTATCACTTATTAACCATCATTTATTTACATTACTTTAATAAAATATTTCAGTTGTTGTGTATATTACATTTGTTTTATTTGATGACTTTATTATTTCATTCCAAGTCATCATCTCATCTCTATAGAGCTGCTGCCTATGCTGTCTGACAAACTCACTATTTTGTAGTTCTTCAAAGTAAATAAGGCATACTTTTATGACTGCTGAATACCAACTATCAATCACTTTGATGTATTTTCAGGTAGAGATACCTTGTGAAGCAACAGCTGCTCCCTATATCCCTTCAAGATCGCACATTCTTCTGCCTCTTCCGTAGTGGACATAAAAGAAACAAGAGACCTGACAAGTAGATGTGCAATGGATTATGGTCATTGTAGTTAATTACCATGTTTTATGCGCTAAACTATGTATAATATAGGCCAATCCGGTTAATTGCTTAGCACTAAAGCAGAGAGAGAGGAGAGTTAGAGAGACAGGTGGTGGCTCCAGACGCCAACAGAGAGGAATGATTAATAAAGGACAAGGGTGGTAGAGAGTCCATGCCCTCCTCCTAACATCCTACAGTGGTGCTCTCAGTCATCTCTCCCTCTCTCCCAGACTCCCACTATGACTGACTCTCATTCCATCAAACTTTCTTTGCTGACCGTACATTAAGATAACAGGCAGACTAAACCAGAACAGGGCACAGCTCCGGGCAGGAACTGACTGTCTGTCTCTCTCTCCATCACTGCTGTTTAGTCTGTCCACCTCCCATTGCTGACTAGAACAGTTAAACCAGACCAGACTAACCAGTTGCTGACTAGAACAGTTAAACCAGACCAGACTAACCAGTTGCTGACTAGAACAGTTAAACAAGACCAGACTAACCAGTTGCTGACTAGAACAGTTAAACAAGACCAGACTAACCAGTTGCTGACTAGAACAGTTAAACAAGACCAGACTAACCAGTTGCTGACTAGAACAGTTAAACAAGACCAGACTAACCAGTTGCTGACTAGAACAGTTAAACAAGACCAGACTAACCAGTTGCTGACTAGAACAGTTAAACAAGACCAGACTAACCAGTTGCTGACTAGAACAGTTAAACAAGACCAGGCTAACCAGTTGCTGACTAGAACAGTTAAACCAGACCAGACTAACCAGTTGCTGACTAGAACAGTTAAACAAGACCAGGCTAACCAGTTGCTGACTAGAACAGTTAAACCAGACCAGACTAACCAGCCCAAGGCACAGCAAGGGGCAGGAACATTGAGTGCATCACAGTCACTAATGACACACTGTTAGTCAACAGTCAAATTCCCCTCCCACCAGCCCCCAGCTTTCTCAGAACCCAAGTGATTCTCAGAACTCAAAACCTCATTTTACTACACTAGGAATGCTGTTACGTCTCCTAAAACTGGGAACAAGGAGAACATGCGAGAGAGCTGTGGGCCGCTTCGCGTTTAGCTTTTGATCTGGCAGAGCTTGTTAATGCAGTCGACCACGCGCATTACCAAGCCCACAGCACAGCCCACCTCCCTGGGAAGGAACGGGAGGAGACTACTACAGCAAAGCAAACAGCCAAACAGACAGCTTTACATGGAGTCATTACTGCTAATGTGACCTCACTCAAAGGGAGGAGGACCCTGGCCAAGAGGCTGAGAGAGATGGGGAGAGGGAGGAGAGAGAGGGGAGGGGAGACAGGAAGAGACAGGGCGAGAGAGGAATAGGTAAAGAGAGGGAGAGGAAGAAAGAAGGGAGAAAGAGAGAGCCAGAGCCTAAAAGATGGATTTCGCAAGCATTAGTAAACGAGGCATTTGGGGAGGCCTGGCATTTGGAGAGACCCTATTCGCCAAATTGCAGCACTTTCCAACACCATTAAATGAAATGCTAGAGAAGTTTGAAAGGCTCTATTAGGTGGTGGGACTCGCACAACATTTCATATAAGCATAAGTCAGAGAGGCAGATTAGCTGAGGTGTTTGGGGGTTTGGGTAAAAAATCCAAATAACACCAAAATCAAAGTGCCACAGAGTTATTTACTGCACAGGAGAGAAACAGGCACGTATTTGTTATGGTTGCTGCTGTGGTTGTTAACTGTTACAGCAAGACTTCCTCACTTACCCCTCTCGGACACTTTCTCTCCCAACCTTGAACCTATATTTTTTTCCTGTCTCCCCCAGGTCCCCACTTCTTTCCATCTCTCTCTCTCTCTCTCTCTCCATCTTCCTACCTCTCTTTCCATTTCCTTTTCTCCCTCTCTCCTGCGTGCAGCTTGGTGTTATCGGACTGAGTCACCATGACGTGGCTGTGAATACAGCCCCTAGCCCCCAGAGCAGAGCAGTGTGGGGACACAGACCAGGGACAAAGAGCCTTTTGACCTCTTTATAAAGGTCACACCAGAGTGCTTTGACAAGGCTCCCACAGGAGGGGAGCAAGACAACACCACTGATACGCCATAGTAACCATAGAGAGGGGGGTTAAATCTCTCCAAGACCAGGATTAGACTGGACAATAGACAGAGAGACCCATCTATATACGCCAGTAAGAGATACGTTACAATGAGCCTATCTCACTAGACCCACATTCTATGGTCCATCTAACCGCCCAGGCATTGTGCTGTTATCAATAGTGAAAGAGGAGGAGAGAGCGAGAGAAAGGGAGAGAGAGAGTTTCAGAGAGCGAGGGTATAAGGGCTCAGTAAAAGCAGTCTGCCTGCCTGCCTCCTCTTATCTGTCTCTGTGTGTGCTATCTCTGAGAAGACTGCTGAGGTCCCTGTAGTCCACAGCACACTGTGCTAGGTCTGTCTGAGCCGGCCGTGACAAGACAATACACACAGGACGTCAGTTATTTCTCCTCAGAGGCCAGCAGGCACAGCACAGACAGAGGTGGAGTGAGTACTCAGTGGGGGAAAGACATCATTCTACTTCTGATCTGTTTTGAAGTGTTCAAACAAACTGAATGTCAGGAAGCTGTCAGAGAACACAAAACACAGAGACGTGTCTGTTTTTTAGGGTGTGATGAAATACTAGAGCAGGTTTATGATGTCATGGTGTCATGAAACAAAATGTAGGTGTTGACTCTCTTTACCAGGCAAACATTGCCTGAATACACACAATGTTCTATATGGCCTTGTAATCTCGGTTAACCCAGAACTAAAGTCTCATGTAATTGGTCAGCTTTTTGATTAAGTTCTGGGTCCATACGTGTTAAAGGGCAACTCCACCACTTTTTCAACCTAATTTTCATTATCTCTAGCACAATGCCAGTGTCAGCATATGTGAAAATGGCGCATTTCTATGTTTTGTAGAAACAAATATAAAGATAAAACAATAAAAGAAAGAAAGAAACACGCCGTTTTCACGTGACTCGTTTCAGGAAACTAGGCGTATGTCATGCGTCACTAGTTCACAGGAGAGCCATTTGAACGTAAACATTATTTTGTTTATCAAAATGCGTTTTTTGCCATTTCTGGAACATGTGAACTTTCATGTGCCTTAATAACAAACTTGTATGTCATCTGTAAATATGAATAAAATTGTAAAATTACGAGCCTAGTTGGTTTAGCCACGGACAAAGAGAGGAACCTTCCCGCTAGCCATGATTGGCTGAGATAATGGGTGGGCTGGACATGCAGAGAAATGAGTTTGGATTGGTCTGCCATGTAGCGCGTTTCTGTCTATACATGAGCTACTCAGTATGTGTAGGTCATCTTTTTTTAACGCAGCTTTTTTGAACAATCTCACGAAGAACTGCAAAAATGTTGCTAATGCTCTACACTTTCTGGAGGACTGAGTTTTGAAATCATGCCCGGTTGATGCAGAGTATGATCGCTAAGGAAATTGAGAAAATTCTGGCGTTTGATTACAAATATGAGGAGGGCGTCGAAAACAGAACACACAGAAGGCTGTTGTATAAAACACCTGTCTCTGGATTACATCTTCAAACTAAGGGCAACCATGGCATCCGTGACAGAGAGGGAAAAGTGTTCATCTATGTATACGGGTAAGAGTCTAGCTAGCTACGTTTTCAGATATTATACGTTTCTAATTTTCTCAGAAAGTCATTATCATTGCAAGTTAAACAGTACTGTTAAATAGCTAGCTAACGTTAGCTGGCTGGCTCGCTAGCCAACATTACGTGTATGATCTGTGTAGTAATATTCGTATCTCAGAGCCATTTGCATTGCTAGTTATAGCCCAATGTTTGCTAACTAGCTAACATTGAACCTAGTTGGTTAGCTTTAGCTACAGATTTACACAGTTTACAACTTCTGTATCCTGTGCATGTGACAAATAAACTTAGATTTTATTTGATATAGTGTGTGTTTACCATGTGAAGAACAACATGACCTGCACCAAAGTCAAATTAGGATATAACGTTAGTCCAACAAGACAGTGTCCAAGTTCTAAAATTCTCAGGTAGAATGCCCTGCTTTCATTTCTTCACACTCACAACCGTAAGCTATATTCTGTAACTAGCTTGTCATTAACTTGTAAATAAGGATCTTGTTGTGAGTTTATTTTCCTGTAATAATTAATACAAATTAGCTAAAGTAAAGACGTTGTCAGCTATATGATACGGTCATTATTTGAACTGGTTAGCTAGCTAGCTAACAAGCTTTTAGTTGCCTGTTTTGCTAGATAGACATATACTAAATTAATTTTTAAACGGATGAGTTTATTGCTGTTAAAATAAACTAGTTATGCTATTTTGGACCACCAGCCTGCCGTTTTTGTGTTTATACTTTTTCATAACGACAAGTTTGATGTCGGACGACAATAGAATGTTAATGATGTCACTGCGACAACTGATAGACGTAGATAGACATAAACCAGCCTTTAGTCTTGAAATCTTTGGTTGTTTACACTACCATACTCACTTTGTTTAGCACATGGCCTCACATGTGAATCCTTAAAGAGATGGGTGGGGCTAAGGCTTAAGAGGTGTGAACGCCGCTGAATGGGTGTAGACAAAGAAGAGCTCTCCAGTAGGTGTACCAAAACATTAAAGGGCCATTTTTTCAAAAGTGGGGTTACAAGTTTATCAACTTTCAAAGCAGAATTACTTTATTATTGTTCCTCAACTGTAGTGTATGATATACTATTTCTAGCTCTGAGTCTCTACTTTTATCCAATGTAAAAAAAAAATATTTCAAATTTTGCTATATAAGACCGAATCCAGCTGGTCGGTCACATATGTAGACACTGGTTTGGTGCTGGAGATCATGAATATGACGTTGAAAAGTGGAAATATTGCCCATTAAGAGAAGAGATGAAGAGATGCTAAAACGAGGAGCGGAACCGGAACGAGGAGCTCTAACCTCTCTCTTAGCAAGTTACGGGCCGAATGTCCCCTCCCCTTCTGAAATTCGAAAGATGCGAACACCTGCGAAATCATGATTCGTCCAAATACCCAGTGAAGAAAAACCCAAACACCTGAACTACTGCTTCTCTTTATCCCATGCATCCCATTTCGTCCCAACAGATTCTACAGTACCAGTTATGTTTACGTAGATCTGTCCAGGAGAGAATAATGGCCTTATAGGGAGGACAATTACTTCTAAACTTACGTATCCATTATATTGTCAAACAAATCCAATACTATAGTTATTCAAGGAAAAGGTTCTGGGGGGAGGACGTATGATTACAAGGATGCCAAAAAACCTGATAGATTTTCTGACAAGATCGATTTTTATTCCTCTCTAATGGCAAGGCCAAACTGTCAATGCTATGTCTCCAGATGGCTCTAAGCAGAGTAAGATGACAATGTGTGTGTGTGTTAGGGTCTTACTTGAGTGTTTCTGCCAGGTAGAAGCTCTGCTGGACGTCGTCATGGTTGGGGCTGGAGGCGTAGACGTCCCTCACTCCACTGTAGCCCCCCTCCACACGACAGTGCTTCTCCAGAGCCTGAGAGAGATGGAAAGAGAGAGAGAGAGAGAAAGAGAGAGAGTGAGATAGAGAAAAAAAGAGAGAGAGAGTGAGAGAACAGAAAATAGAGAGCAAGAAGAGGGAGAGAAAAGGTGAGAGAGCGAGAACGTAGGTTGAAAAAGTTGACGGTTTCTTATGGCAGGGTGTTGTAGATGTATGCACGGTGCTAGCTTGTTGTTGAGCCAGCATATTTCCCTTCAGCGTGGCTGCTCTGCCTGTGGGTGGGGGGAAGAGGAGAGGAGAGGAGGCTGCATTAGGCACAATGACTAGGGGAGAAAATGGGCCTGAGGAGGATGGAGCTGGGGCTGCAGCGTTCACACATCCACTCTGGCTGAACAAGGGTTGAGGGCGGGAGGAGGGAGGAGGAGGTATCTGCAGGCAGGCAGAGAGGCAGGCAGGCTCCAGATCATATTTATGGCTAACACAAGGCCCATCAGAGGTAATCTCATGTCATTAGTGGATACAACTGCATGGTTCTGGGATCTGAGCAATCAGCATTCAACATCGCCACTGTTCTGTTCTGATCTGTTGCAGCATGGCAATGATACATCAGAGACAGAGAGAGAGAGAGTGTGGTGAGGAAGGAAGTGTCTCAGAGGTTTTGGAGACTACTGTGCTCAAAACTAGCGGTGCATAGACCTGAATGAGTCTACAAATCACAGTGAACAGGGGTCTATTGGCATACAGAACCCTTTTCACTGTCAATGATCTAAGAGGAAGAGTCTCTTCTCAGTGGAGCCTATGAGGGGACATGGTGACACAAACATGACAGAAAGGACTGTGGTGGGATAATTCTGAAGGATGATGGGTACTATAGTTCTCACCTGCACAGCCTCCCAGCCCCACTCCCTGTACTTGGGATCGTGGGTGAACCTCCACATGTACATGTAGGTCTCGATGACCTCTGGCCTCAGGATGAAGTACTTCTCGTTCTGCCGTGTAGCGATGGCCTCCACGCCGCCGTCAAACCTGAACCCCTCCGGGCCCAGCTTCAGGGCTGGAAGAGTGGAACCAAGGAAGAAGACATCATAATGAAAAACCCCAAACCAGGTCTAGGAGAAGGTGATGAGCACAACAAAAATATCTACAAAATAACAAAATATTTTAACCTGGCTGACACTACGCTCTACCTACCCAGCAGCCCCCCTGGCCTCAGAGAGAAACCAGGCTCAACGCTCATTGATCTTTCATTTCACACTGGCTTGCTCTGAAGAGGAGTGTGTGGGGTGTGTGTGTGAGAAAGTGTGTGCTGTTGTTGAGTCCCACACCTCCTTTTGTCTGGGCTTCAGAACTAATACCACCTCACCTGGGAGGAAGAGTTTATTAGCCTACCCCTGCTGTAGAGGGAGACAGGGCCACTGATTTGCCCCAGATGAGGGGGTCAGTCAGACTCACTGGTGCGGGCGTAGGACTCATGGCAGGTGCGGGCGATCTCTGCGGCCTGCTCCATCTGGTGACCCGTCTTGTCCTCGGGAGCTCCATCGGCCCCCAGGGCAATCATGCCTCCGGCGAAGCACGTCAGGTGACCCATCTTGTGCTCCAGCAGGCCACCCTTCCACTCAGCGATGTACGTCAGTCCACCGCTGGACTTCCTCATCAGACTGGTCTCAATGGCCTGGAGGACAATGATAAGAACAGCAGACAGGTGAGCAAACTATCCACCTCCAGTCCCAGACAGGGGCCATTCCCCCTACAAATGGAGTGGACCCTTCCGGAGCATGAATAAATACCACCCAAACAGCATTGTGAAGCTTGATAAAATGGCTGCTGTTTGAAAACCAGGGCTCCCAGCTGGTGGCCAGTGTTATGTATTTGCTGGGGTGGCATGGACACAGAACGCTGCTCCTATTTGTCCCTGGCTTTTACTGTAGACAGGAGGGCCACTTTATCCTGAGACATTCTAGAATGGCGGGCGCGTTCCATCCACGGCGAGACATGACTACAGGAGGATCACAAATGATTCAGAACGGGCGGCCCGTCTCCCCCGCTAGCCACAAAGCAGGTGTCCAGTACAGTAACATCACATGAATGACAGACAACACGGTTATTACACGGGCCATTACCGATATAGAGAGAGTAATAATCCTACCTTTTAACATATGGAATAAATAAGTGCAGCGAGTCGACGGCAGCTTCAAACGCTACACTATCCCAGGTGCATTCTCTGATGCGCCTCCTTGTTCATCGCTTCACTTGGCACATTTATTTCCATACTCATTGGGTTTGCTTTTCTCCAGCTGAGGGAAAACCCAAGAACATGTAATATTGCAAATCTCCCGAAAGTAAAGACGTTTTCAAAAGATTATTCAGATCTGTGCTTGTGTAGTGTGTGACCCATCATGTAAATGGGGCCGTCTATATGCGGCTGGGCATTGCACGCCGCGTTTCGCCACAGAAAACCAGCTGATTCATATTCTCCTAAACTGGTTATTTCATTTCCTTTGGTCTCTTTAAAGGCAGCCTATATCCTGTTTAGCAACAGCCCAGCCTGTTCCTGCTGAGAAGAAGAAAAACTCAGGCCATTTCCTTCAATCTCTGCCTCTGACTACTAGTGCTTCAAGAACAGATAAAGCATATACACTGCTCAAAAAAATAAAGGGAACACTTAAACAACACAATGTAACTCCAAGTCAATCACACTTCTGTGAAATCAAACTGTCCACTTAGGAAGCAACACTGATTGGCAATAAATTTCACATGCTGTTGTGCAAATGGAATAGACAACAGGTGGAAATTATAGGCAATTAGCAAGACACACCCAATAAAGGACTGGCAGGTGGTGACCACAGACCACTTCTCAGTTCCTATGCTTCCTGGCTGATGTTTTGGTCACTTTTGAATGCTGGCGGTGCTTTCACTCTAGTGGTAGCATGAGACGGAGTCTACAACCCACACAAGTGGCTCAGGTAGTGCAGCTCATCCAGGATGGCACATCAATGCGAGCTGTGGCAAGAAGGTTTGCTGTGTCTGTCAGCGTAGTGTCCAGAGCATGGAGGCGCTACCAGGAGACAGGCCAGTACATGAGGAGGCCGTAAGAGCGCAACAACCCAGCAGCAGGACTGCTACCTCAGTCTTTGTGCAAGGAGGAGCAGGAGGAGCACTGCCAGAGCCCTGCAAAATGACCTCCAGCAGGCCACAAATGTGCATGTGTCTGCTCAAACGGTCAGAAACAGACTCCATGAGGGTGGTATGAGGGCCCGACGTCCACAGGTGGGGGTTGTGCTTACAGCCCAACACCGTGCAGGACGTTTGGCATTTGCCAGAGAACACCAAGATTGGCAAATTTGCCACTGGCGCCCTGTGCTCTTCACAGATGAAAGCAGGTTCACACTGAGCACATGTGACAGACGTGACAGAGTCTGGAGACGCCGTGGAGAACGTTCTGCTGCCTGCAACATCCTCCAGCATGACCGGTTTGGCGGTGGGTCAGTCATGGTGTGGGGTGGCATTTCTTTGGGGGGCCGCACAGCCCTCCATGTGCTCGCCAGAGGTAGCCTGACTGCCATTAGGTACCGAGATGAGATTAGGTACCTCCATGTCTCCGACCACTACTTTGTTTCCTTTTCTCTCTCGCTCTCCTCCCACACTACTCACTCTGCCCCTACACAGATGGTAATGCACCGCCGCAACCTTTGCTCTCTCTCTCCCACTACTCTCTCCTCTTCCATCCTATCATCTCTTCCCTCTGCTCAATCCTTCTCCCTCCAATCTCCTGATTCTGCCTCCTCAACCCTCCTCTCCTCCCTTTCTGCATCCTTTGACTCTCTGTGTCCCCTATCCTCCCGGCCGGCTCGGTCCTCCCCTCCAGCTCCGTGGCTTGATGACTCACTGCGAGCTCACAGAACAGAGCTCCGGGCAGCGGAGCGGAAATGGAAGAAAACTAAACTCCCTGCCGACCTGGCATCTTTTCACTCCCTCCTCTCTACATTTTCTTCATCTGTTTCTGCTGCTAAGGCCACCTTCTACCACTCTAAATTCCAAGCATCTGCCTCTAACCCTAGGAAGCTCTTTGCCACATTTTCCTCCCTCCTGAACCCCCCCCCCCCCCCCCCCCCCTCCTCTCTCTCTGTGGATGACTTCGTCAACCACTTTGAAAAGAAGGTTGACGACATCCGATCCTCGTTTGTTAAGTCTAATGACACTGCTGGTCCTGCTCACACTGCCCTACCCTATGCGTTGACTTCTTTCTCCCCTCTCTCTCCAGATAAAATCCTGCGACTTGTGACTGCAGGCCGCCCAACAACCTGCCCGCTTGACCCCATCCCCTCCTCCCTTCTCCAGACCATCTCCGGTGACCTTCTCCCCTACCTCACCTCGCTGATCAACTCATCCTTGACCGCTGGCCATGTCCCTTCTGTCTTCAAGAGAGCGAGAGTTGCTCCCCTTCTCAAGAAACCAACACTCGACCCCACTGATGTCAACAACTACAGACCAGTATCCCTTCTTTCTTTTCTTTCCAAAACTATTGAGCGTGCTGTCTTTAGCCAACTCTCTTGCTATCTCTCTCAGAATGACCTTCTTGATCCAAACCAATCAGGTTTCAGGACTGGTCATTCAACTGAGACTGCTCTTCTCTGTGTCACGGAGACTCTCCGCACTGCTAAAGCTAACTCTCTCTCCTCTGCTCTTGTCCTTCTAGACCTGTCTGCTGCCTTTGATACTGTGAACCATCAGATCCTCCTCTCCACCCTCTCCGAGCTGGGCATCTCCGGCGCGGCTCACTCCTGGATTGCGTCCTACCTGACCGGTCGCTCCTACCAAGTGGCGTGGCGAGAAGCTGTCTCCGCACCACGTGTTCTCACCACTGGTGTCCCCCAAGGCTCAGTTCTAGGCCCTCTCCTTTTCTCCCTATACACCAAGTCACTTGGCTCTGTCATATCCTCACATGGTCTCTCCTATCATTGCTACGCTGACGATACACAACTAATCTTCTCCTTTCCCCCTTCTGATAACCAGGTGGCGAATCGCATCTCTGCATGTCTGGCAGACATATCAGTATGGATGACGGATCACCACCTCAAGCTGAACCCTGGCAAGACGGAGCTGCTCTTCCTCCCGGGGAAGGACTGCCCGTTCCATGATCTCGCCATCACGGTTGACAACTCCGCTGTGTCCTCCTCCCAGAGTGCGAAGAGCCTAGGCGTGACCCTGGACAACACCCTGTCGTTCTCCGCCAACATCAAGGCGGTGACCCGCTCCTGCAGGTTCATGCTCTACAACATTCGGAGAGTACGACCCTGCCTTACACAGGAAGCGGCACAGGTCCTAATCCAGGCACTTGTCATCTCCCGTCTGGACTACTGCAACTCGCTGTTGGCTGGCCTCCCTGCCTGTGCCATTAAACCCCTACAACTCATCCAGAATGCCGCAGCCCGTCTGGTGTTCAACCTTCCCAAGTTCTCTCACGTCACCCCCCCTCCTCCGCACACTCCACTGGCTTCCAGTTGAAGCTCGCATCCGCTACAAGACCATGGTGCTTGCCTATGGAGCAGTGAGGGGAACGGCACCTCTGTACCTTCAGGCTCTGATCAGTCCCTACACCCAAATGAGGGCATTGCGCTCATCCACCTCTGGCCTGCTGGCTCCCCTTCCTCTGCGGAAGCATAGTTCCCGCTCAGCCCAGTCAAAACTGTTCGCTGCTCTGGCACCCCAATGGTGGAACAAGCTCCCTCACGACGCCAGGACAGCGGAGTCACTCACCACCTTCCGGAGACATTTGAAACCCCACCTCTTTAAGGAATACCTGGGATAGGATAAAGGAATCCTTCTACCCCCCCCCCAATTGTAAAGTGGTTATCCCACTGGCTATAGGGTGAACGCACCAATTTGTGAGTCGCTCTGGCTAAGAGCGTCTGCTAAATGACGTTAATGTGCCCTTGAGCAAGGCACTTAACCCTAATTGCTCCTGTAAGTCGCTCTGGATAAGAGCGTCTGCTAAATGACTAAAATGTAATGTAAATGTAATGAGATCCTCAGACCCCTTGTGAGACCATATGCTGGTGCGGTTGGCCCTGGGTTCCTCCTAATGCAAGACAATGCTAGACCTCATGTGGCTGGAGTGTGTCAGCAGTTCCTGCAAGAGGAAGGCATTGATGCTATGGACTGGCCCGCCCGTTCCCCAGACCTGAATCCAATTGAGCACATCTGGGACATCATGTCTCGCTCCATCCACCAACGCCATGTTGCACCACAGACTGTACAGGAGTTGGCGGATGCTTTAGTCCAGGTCTGGGAGGAGATCCCTCAGGAGACCATCCGCCACCTCATCAGGAGCATGCCCAGGCGTTGTAGGGAGGTCATACAGGCACGTGGAGGCCTCATTTTGACTTGTTTTAAGGACATTACATCAAAGTTGGATCAGCCTGTAGTGTGGTTTTCCACTTAAATTTTAAGGTTGACTCCAAATCCAGACCTCCATGGGTTGATTCATTTGATTTCCATTGATAATTTTTGTGTGATTTTGTTGTCAGCACATTCAACTATGTAAAGAAAAAAGTATTTCATAAGATTATTTCATTCATTCAGATCTAGGATGTGTTATTTTAGTGTTCCCTTTATTTTTTTGAGCAGTGTATATAAAACATATACATTTTACAGCTACATTCTGTGAGTCCCGGTGGCCACATGTTCTCCCTTACCTCCAGCCAGGAGGGGATATAAAGCCTGACAGACAGACCTGGACAGAGGCAGGCAGCAGCACATCTTGTTCAGCACAGGCTGCTTCTCTTCTCATCAGGGGGGATAGAGAGCATGTAGGCTGGGCCGGCACTGAGGCGAGGATGCCAAGGAACCATTAATAAGAGAACAGAGTCTGTTCCTAACCAGCTGCCTCTCAGCATACCTCTCAGGCTGTCTGACCCAAATGGAGGATGGCTTGACGTGGCAATGGGGACCCTCTCGCTGTGGGTGACCTGCTTGTGGTGTCTCGCCCAGGTGGACGGCAGACAGGCGGATAGGTAGGCAGGTGTGGTGGGGAAACGAGGCTGGCTGGGAGGGGAATGGAGGAGGGAGGGTAATATCCTGGAGCAGTCTGGGTCCTTGTGGACCTCCGTACGGAGAAGAACGTTATTATCTCCAACAAGACAGGAGGATTGGCTCTAATGAAACAGAGTATTTGGCTGGCAGCAGTCAGAGCCCATCTCACCAGACAGAGCTCTGAGTCTGGCTAACCCCCATTCACTGACAGCCTCCTCCATCCCCACCTCCTCCAGCTCCTGTGGAGTGCAGTTAGTACATCACACTCAGAGATAACCCCTGCCTGGCGTAGCATGTCTTGGTTTCACATAGCAACCCACACAACTGGTACTGATTTCTGACTGACTGTTCACAGTCATTTAAGAAATGTAACTGTTGTTTTCACGCTTTCAATGGAGGTCAAAACAGCCTCTGAAAAGGTTTAGTCAGCGCTTCAGAATGTGCTGGAACTGTAGCCATTAAATCTCAGTAGGAGAGGAGAAAGGATGAGGAGACGAGACGAGAGTAGAGAAGAGGAGCAGAGGGGAGTGGGAAGGAGAGGATGGGATGGGAGTGGGGGAGAGGAGAGGAAAGGAAAGGAGAGGATGGGAGAGAAGAGAAGAGAGGTGTGTAGGCTAGGTAAGGTCTCTTGAAGGTTTACCTGCAGAGCGTCGTAGTAGAGCTTCTTGCCCTCCTCGTCCGTCTTGTCTGACATCAGCCAGGCCTTGAGCAGGTACTCATAGAAGCTGTCTCCCAGGCCGCCCACTGACACGTGATCTACAGGACAGAGACAACACAACAGATTTGAGCATCATGCTGGAGCCAGGATAATTTACCTATCTCATCTTGCCAGCAGCAGCCCTCCCTCCTCCTTCCCTCCGTGGCCTGCCTCACCTCAGGATGATGTATGGCCCAATGATGATGGCCATAATCTCAGCACCCGAGGCTGTTTACACAGGAAGATGGCCCCTTAATACCTGCTCAGTTTCAGAACCTCAGTGACAAAGGGACGTGTCTGGCATAGGCCTGGCCGAGGGGACGGGGATGCCATTTCAAACAGAGTCCAACCAAGCTACAGAAGTAATGGGATTAGTCTCCTTTGATAGCTGATGTATGGAAGATGTCTGCAAGGGGGAGATTGGCACTCTGATGAGTTTATCAGCTACCCCCGGCATGTCCCCGGTCACTGTCTGCGTGTATGTGTGTGTACCGACTGAGCTGTGCAGGATGCAGCAGCGATACCATAGCGGGGTAAAAAGAGAGACGGTCCCTGTGACAGTCAGTGAGGTGTGGGGCTGTGCTCTGTGTTGTGCCGGGTGATGTGCTCTCCTGTCCACTTCACTCTCTGTGAGGAATGAGTCTCCAGGGTCTGGGAGAGAGCCCCAGTCAAGCCAAGCTGCTGTTCATCATATTGATTGTCATGCCCCCTCATACATATGTATATGTCATTAACAGCCACAGCCTTGTTTGGGAGATATAGATTAGACGTCAGCAGTAATAAAGGGGACAGGACAGAGCTCCAGGGGGAGGCTGTAGTGGATCGTGGCCTTGCCCTGATAAGGGCTGTATTTCCTTGCTGACTGGGGTCGCATTGGCATGTCTGACTCAATACCACAGGGTTAACAGCAGGTCAGAGATGGAATACAAGGTCAACGATCTGATCATGGATCTATCTGATTGACAACACACACTCACATCAAATATACAAGTTATCCAGGTTCTGGACCTGGATAACAGGGTGATTGTGTGTGTTTGTGTTTGTGTGTGTGTCTGATTGAGGTTGCTAGGAGAGACATGATGGTGGCTTTCTCTAGGTGACTTGGTGTTATCACACCGATCCAGGGACAAATTAACTGCCTACGAACTGAGGACTCAGACATCACACTGTCTTGCAGCCCTGCAGTCTGATTGGACTGGAGATCTGATAGGATGTCCTTAATCTAACATAGCAGGCGTAAAAGAAATGCAAGAGCGGAGTTCCCACACCAGGTTTTCGGCAGAAAAGGAATCTAGGTTGAAGATAGCTGTATCCCTGAAAACTGGATGCATCTGGTTGTTTGCAACTCCGCTAACTGACCGGTCGAAAGATTTACGCAATTATTACCTGGATGAAAATGGTGGAGGGTCATGTTTTTTTTAAATTTCAGTCAGGGGGAGGGTTTAGTATTTAATCCAGGGGAGGGTCATGTAATTTGTAATGAATTAAAATGTCAGCATTTTGGAATTTACTTACTGAATTCGACTTTGGTCTCTCTCACACACACACAGACAGACACAGACACAGACACAGACACACACACACACACACACACACACACACACACACACACACACACACACACACACACACACACACACACACACACACACACACACACACACACACACACACACACACACACACACACACACACACAAATAAAATAGCGCTTGTTGTGATGACATACTGTAGGGAGCTAGTGCGCATCAGAAATGATGCATTCAAAACAACTGGGAACTCTGAAATCTCAGACTTCTGACATCAGTGTGTAAGAACTTGGGTAAACAAACAAACTCCGACTGGGAAAATCGTTTTGAACGTTCATCCAACTCTCGCATCTTTCTAAAGCTCCGATTTGAAGATCACTGAAGTCATGATTTGACCTGGGGTTTTTTTTCTTCGAGTTCCCAGTTCTCTTGAAAGCACCAAAAAACAACAAGCATGGCGTCACACACATACTTAAGGACCACAGCTCGTGAAACGTTATTTTCACAATAATTTAAGGGTTTCTTGCAGTCGCTGTTCACTGAATAGAGTCTAGAAAAGTTCCATGTAATTTTGGAGTCAAAAGGAGATGGTTCTTCAATGCGGAAAAAAATGAATGGATTCAATCGTGTGTTGGAGGAGCTGCTACCGAATGGGGAGGATAACAGTCCAAGTGGATGGCTGGTCTATCTTTATTCCTACAAGTTGTTCTCCTTTTTTGAGCAATATGTTTATCCTAGGCTGCCTGTCATTTCATATAAATCTGATTTGTATCAAAATATTTCACTGTGTAATGAATATTGGGTAGGTCTATAGGCTAGGCTATTCACTGAAGTATTACACCTAATAATTCCTCTTTAGCTCTTGTTGTACACTTACACTATATATACACAAAAGTATGTGAACACCCCTTCGAATGAGCTGCCCCGGTCAACTGTAAGTGCTGTTATTGTGAAGTGAAAACGTCTAGGAGCAACAACGGCGCAGCCGCGAAGTGATAGGCCACACAAGCTCACAGAACGGGACCGCCGAGTGCTGAAGCGCGTAAAAATCGTCTGTCCTCGGTTGCAACACTCACTACCGAGTTCCAAACTGCCTCAGGAAGCAATGTCAGCACAAGAACTGTTCGTCTGGAGCATCATGAAATGGGTTCCATGGCTGAGCAGCCACACACAAGCCTAAGATCACCATGCGCAATGCCAAGCGTCAGCTGGAGTGATGTAAATCTCGCCGCCATTGGACACTGGAGCAGTGGAAGCACGTTCTCTGAAGTGATGAATCACTCTTCACCATCTGGCAGTCCGACGGACAAATCTGTGTTTGGCCAATGCCAGGAGAATGCTACCTGCCCCAATGCATAGTGCCAACTGTAAAGTTTGGTGGAGGAGGAATAATGGTCTGGGGCTGTTTTCATGGTTCGGGCTAGGCTCCTTAGTTCCAGTGAAGGGAAATATTAATGCTACAGCATACAATGACATTCTAGACGATTCTTTGATTCCAACTTTGTGGCAACAGTTTGGGGAAGGCCCTTTCCTGTTTCAGCATGACAATGCCCCCGTGCACAAAGCAAGGTCCATACAGAAATGGTGTGTCGAGATCAGTGTGGAAGAACTTGACTGGCCTGTACAGAGCCCTGACCTCAACCCCATCGAACACCTTTGGGATGAATTGGAACGCCGACTGCGAGCCAGGCCTAACTGCCCAACATCAGTGCCTGACCTCACTAATGCTCGTGGCTGAATGGAAGCAAGTCCCCGCAGCAATGTTCCAACATCTAGTGGAAAGCCTTCCCAGAAGAGTGGAGGCTGTTATAGCAGCAAAGGGGAGACCAACTCCATATTAATGCACATGTGATGTTCGACGAGAAGTTGTCCACATACTTTTGGTTATGTAGTGTATCTAGCTAATATTTAGTTTCTTTGGCTACACAACTCTAGCCTCTCTCTTCCAGCTATTCCTGTGTGCAATAGGCTATAGGCTATGGATGCAAGACTCTCCACTATTCCTCTTCTTGTGAAATCCCAGGACAGGCTACAAAATCTATATGAGATGTATTTTTACACTAGACCTAAAAAGCTTTTCGTGGAGAGAAGCAGGTTTGCTCTTGCTAATTGCTGAATGCCATCGTCTATGCCTACAGCATAGAAAATACATGTTGGGAAAGTTGCAGAGAGAGAGTGCATCACTGGCCAGTGATGATAACATTGTTGCACTGATGTATTAAATGGTTGCACAGGACAGACAGTGATGAGCACAGTGAAAAAAAAGATCCAAACAAATTGACATCCATTAGAAAAATGGAAATCACTTTTTAACCACTTCAGCAACAAAGCAAGCAATGACATGATTTAAAAGAAGCGCAGGCTAAACAGCGTTTATTTTTGAATATCTACATTTAATTTAAATATGAGTTTCTATATTATACTTTTCATTAGGCTACATGTAGCCTACATTGATGTGTTATTTGCAGTTGTCACTATGACAATGAACACACCCTGAAGCATTGAATGGTCTGTGTTACCACCTTATGAGTAGGCCTACAGCGTTCAGTAGGATGCTTTGATCAGTTGATTGATAGGGGTAGGATACTGTAGAACGATAAACTTTCCTCTAGTGTGGATGCTCGCCAATGTAGTTAGTTATAGTCCTTGGTGTGGGCAGCCCTTAACTCTTAAATTGGTAAATTCCTCCCTTTAGCGGATAACATGAATATGGTGTGAATACAGCAGTCGTTTTCAACCACTGATTTGATAGAAATCACAACTGCAACATTGATAACCTACTAAAAAAGGGATTTAATAGTCCCTGCTATTTGGTTTTAATGATCATTTTGGAGGTGTAGGAGGGTAACGTTTTTTTTCAAATGCTCAGTGAGGGCCAGGTAGAAATATATTTTCCTCAGGGGGAGGGCCATCCATTTTCATTTTAAAGAGGTCTGATTATCTCCGGTATCCCTCAATATAAATAACGTTCACTCCCTAAGGGAATGACTGTCGGCCATGTCATTGGTGTGATAGGATGACCGTCATGTCTGTGGGCCATGTCATTGGTGTGATACGATGTCCGTCATGACTGTGGGCTACGTCATTGGTTTGATACGATGTCCGTCATGTCTGTGGGCCATGCCATTGGTGTGATAGTATGTCCGTCATGACTGTGGGCCATACATGTCATTGAAGGGATAAGATGTCCATTATGTCTGTAGACCATGTCATAGGCAGCTCCACACATACAAGAAGACGTGACTGTCAGATACGTGGCACTAAGGGACACGTACTGATGGTTTATATTGAAACATCAACTACAACAGCATCCCCAGAGCTTTGATAGGCCGTCTATACTATGACAGAGAAACACAGACACTGAGAATGGAAAGACCATTTCTATGACATCACCCTCAGGTCTACTCTACCAGTAAACACAGATCACAAGTGACCTTTATGTAAAATATCCTCAGGTGGCAAATGGTTCTGGTGTGAACCTGAAAAATTGCTTTCCATTTTTTAAATCACATCCAACATTACCATTCCTATACGTCAGGCTATTTGTCAATTGAGTTGTTTTTCTTCTACTTGGAAATTATTCCAGCTAACACTGACCATGTAGACCACATTAATCACTTAAAAAATATAAACATTTAGAGGTGCCTTTAGCAATGTTTGTCTTGGAATGTTCTCTATGTTTGAGAAAGGCTTGGTTTGGCATTACTGGTGTGGTACAACTACCTTCCCTTAGTCAGTCAGCCATTCTCTCTCCCCCACCTGGCTGGCTCCCATCAGAATAGCTACTTGTAATGATAATTATAATAATACTACTACATGGGAATTAAATAGTGCTTTTCAAAGACTCAAAGATGTAGAGTCATCCAGAGAGACACAGGACTCTGACAGTACCCCCAACCTACTCCTCTCCACCCTGGCCTGGGTCACTACATCACTCTGCTGGGTGACCTGATGTCAACACCACCTATGCTCCACTAAATTATGGAGCTGCAAACTATACAAAAAATCCCTGTGGGATGGATCAAGTTGTCAGAGAGAATGAGAAACAATAAGGACGACTTCCTCCCCTCCCATTGATCTCTCCACCCAGTTTGACCCAGGGGCTGGACGCACAGCGGTCAGTCATTAGCGCTGAACCCTCTCTGACCCCCTGACCAGGACTACAGCAGAGACAAACACAGAGACAGTTAGTATGGGTATTCATCAGACGTGACATTTCAGCGAGGGCGTAGAGGGGTCATTCAATTACAGAGGGTCACACACACAAACACACAGTGGAGAGGGGGGAGGTATCGCACAGAATAGCAAAACAAACAACATGGCTAAGATATGCATTCAAATGAGTGTGTGTGATAGAGATTGCAGTGGGCCCATCAGGATGCTACAGCCAGCAGCGTATGGCTGTGCTAGGGACTGGTCTGGTCTGATTTGGTCTGTGCATCTCATTAACATTTTGTGCAGCTCAGAGACAAACACATTAGAGAGGGGATCCATGGAAGCTGCTGTCTGCTGGGCACAGGGCTGTCTGAGCACGGACACACTGCAGGGTTACTCCATCCCACTCACTGTGCCCTAGATTAGCGACCAGGCAATTCTTGGGGCTGAAGATAGTTTTGTCAAGAGGTGGCCTGGCTGGAGCTGGGTAATGTCACAGTAGCAGTTGCTCCATACCAGGGATGGGGGTACTGAACTGTTGGGGTGCCTTGAGTGGCATGAAGCCCATAACCAGTCAAAGGAGCAGGAGAGTTTGAGTGTGAGAGTGACTTATTGTGTGGAGGTATCAGGACAGAACTGTAGCGATAGAGGAGGACTAATTAACTTTAATGGCAGTATTCACCATGTTTAAGTACTGTCATTAGCCACAGATACTTATTTCTCCCTGATGTCCCTCACCCCCTGAGCAGCATTAAGTTACATAATCTCCTAATGCACAGCCCACTCAATCAGAAGTGCTCACATTGAACTGATGTGGCTCTCCCAGCTGTAAATACCTTGATAATTACAGGCTGTGGAACAGCGGTTGACAGCCACAGGTGAACCACTAATGGAAATGGAAAGGGGTGATATGGAAGAGAGGGATGAGAGTGGTGAAAAGAGAGAAGGATGGGCAAGATGGAAGACAGGAGAGAGAGATGGTTAAAGAGTGATGAAGAGGGAGGAGATGGGAGGGAGGGATGAGATGGAAGAGAGATAAGAAATAGGAAAGAGAGTGTGGAGAAAATGGTGAGAGGGGAGATAGGAATGAGACAGGAGGGGTGAGAGATGGTACGTGCAGAGAGGGGTGAGATGAGAGAGGGATGAGAGGGGGACTTACGTTGACCCCACTGTCCGCTGTTAGGGTTCAGGTAGTTGGGGTACAGTCCCTGGGGCTTATCCAGTCGATTCAGAACCTTCCGGATGTTCATGACCTAGGAGGAGGAGTAGGAAATTAGTTTCTACTTTCTCCCTGCAAATACCTCATTGCCGCCTAATCTTTCAGCAGCACGGCACAGTAATGCACTTTAAATGGCCTTTCTGCAGGGACGGCAGTTAAGGGAGGCATAAGAGAGAAAGAGGCCGATGGCTCAGAGCGAAAGAAGCCATTTACCTGCGGAACAGGCGTTAACATGAATAGTAATGAAGGTCGCAGCTATGAATAACCCCATCATCAGGCTGGCTGAGTGCTCAGTTACACTTGGTGTTAATGCACTGGAATGGAATGTGCTGTGGCTCCCTAGCTTTCACCTTCTCTGCGAAGGCTGGGTTCCCTGACAGCTTGGAGAGGTGCATGAACTCCAGGTGCAGGGTGCCGTACTCCGCCAGGATGCTGCTGCCTCCAGACGCCCACGGCCAGTTCCTCCCGATGCCACTGCAGAGACAACAAGACAACACAGTTAATTAAGTCACTTACTCCAAACACCGTTACAGCATAGAACACCAAACACAGTTCTACGAAACCTCAGGTCCTCCAAACATCACTGCAGAGGAAGAGAACATCAAGCATTTACTCATTCAAAACATTTACAGTGAAGGAAAAAAGTATTTGATCCCCTGCTGATTTTGTACGTTTGCCCACTGACAAAGAAATGATCAGTCTATAGTTTTAATGGTAGGTTTATTTGAACAGTGAGAGACAGAATAACAACAAAAAAATCCAGAAAAACGCATGTCAAAAATGTTATAAATTGATTTGCATTTTAATGAGGGAAATAAGTATTTTAACCCCTCTCAATCAGAAAGATTTCTGGCTCCCAGGTGTCTTTTATACAGGTAACGAGCTGAGATTAGGAGCACACTCTTAAAGGGAGTGCTCCTAATCTCAGTTTGTTACCTGTATAAAAGACACCTGTCCACAGAAGCAATCAATCAATCAGATTCCAAACTGTCCACCATGGCCAAGACCAAAGAGCTCTCCAAGGATGTCAGGGACAAGATTGTAGACCTACACAAGGCTGGAATGGGCTACAAGACCATCACCAAGCAGCTTGGTGAGAAGGTGACAACAGTTGGTGCGATTATTTGCAAATGGAAGAAACACAAAAGAACTGTCAATCTCCCTCGGCCTGGGGCTCCATGCAAGATCTCACCTCGTGGAGTTGTAATGATCATGAGAACGGTGAGGAATCAGCCCAGAACTACACGGGAGGATCTTGTCAATGATCTCAATGCAGCTGGGACCATAGTCAACAAGAAAACAATTGGTAACACACTACGCCGTGAAGGACTGAAATCCTGCAGAGCCCGCAAGGTCCCCCTGCTCAAGAAAGCACATATACAGGCCCGTCTGAAGTTTGCCAATGAACATCTGAATGATTCAGAGGAGAACTGGGTGAAAGTGTTGTGGTCAGATGAGACCAAAATCGAGCTCTTTGCCATCAACTCAACTCGCCGTGTTTGGAGGAGGAGGAATGCTGCCTATGACCCCAAGAACACCATCCCCACCGTCAAACATGGAGGTGGAAACATTATGCTTTGGGGGTGTTTTTATGCTAAGGGGCAGAACAACTTCACCGCATCAAAGGGACGATGGACGGGGCCATGTACCGTCAAATCTTGGGTGAAAACCTCCTTCCCTCAGCCAGGGCATTGAAAATGGGTCGTGGATGGGTATTCCAGCATGACAATGACCCAAAACACACGGCCAAGGCAACAAAGGAGTGGCTCAAGAAGAAGCACATTAAGGTCCTGGATTGGCCTAGCCAGTCTCCAGACCTTAATCCCATAGAAAATCTGTGGAGGGAGCTGAAGGTTCGAGTTGCCAAACGTCAGCCTCGAAACCTTAATGACTTGGAGAAGATCTGCAAAGAGGAGTGGGACAAAATCCCTCCTGAGATGTGTGCAAACCTGGTGGCCAACTACAAGAAACGTCTGACCTCTGTGATTGCCAACAAGGGTTTTGCCACCAAGTACTAAGTCATGTTTTGCAGAGGGGTCAAATACTTATTTCCCTCATTAAAATGCAAATCAATTCATAACATTTTTGACATGCGTTTTTCTGGATTTTTTTGTTGTTATTCTGTCTCACTGTTCAAATAAACCTACCATTAAAATTATAGACTGATCATTTCTTTGTCAGTGGGCAAACGTACAAAATCAGCAGGGGATCAAATAATTTTTTCCCTCACTGTACCTCAGTCAAAACCCCACCACACAAACATTCCCTAGAGCTCATGGCTCCAACTTACGTCAACCCTACACACATCAGTGGGGTCAAAACCGTTCTCCCGTCTTATGAATGTGACTTTAGATATAGTACTCATCTGTTTTAACTTCATACCAAATGAACTTAACTCTACAAAACCACACATTACTCCTCTGATACTATCTGTCCACAGTGTGTGACATTAAAATATCCACCACAGTGTGTATCCGGGCTGCCTGATAGTTTTTAAACAGCAGGCCCGGGGCAGAGCTGCCATTCTGAATTCTTTCTATTACACTGCTCCCCGTGTAACTTTACTTCCCGAGTCGCCCTGATCGGGCCAGTGTGTCTATTAGGCCTAACACATTTCAGTCTGCTAAATGGTGCATAATCATTGACTTCCCAAATAATGACTAGTGTCACTTTTGTTATTCAAGCTTTTGTGTGAGAGACAGAGCACTGGGAGATTTCTGTCATTAACACTGCATGAATCAATCTGGCTAATACAGCTGGGCTGGAGGGACCAAAGGGTAAGTGCCAAAAACATATCCCTGTGTGTGTGTGTGTGTGTGTGTGTGTGTGTGTGTGTGTGTGTGCGCGCACACGCTCTATGTAAATTGTATTTTACCCAGACTCCCAAATTGAACTGGCATCCCCTTGACTTCATTAGGAAAGCAAACTTGTTTATAAACATTAGTATAACTAATTTGACCTTTCTCTGTGCCAAGAATTGGGTTGAAGCTGTTTTCCAGGTCCGTATTTAAAAAAAGGGCTGACAAAGCCCAACAGCCTATAGCTCTGAATTAATTAAAGAAACCCCCTGAGCAGCATTAATGCAGAGGCATCCAGTCGATGACAACGTGTGTTCATAAGGTCTTAGTGTTGCCACCAATGTCATCATTCCTATCGCTGAAATTATCTGCCACTATCACTAATGATCCAGGGCCTGCCCCACTGCTTGGCTCATGCATGCAGGCACACATGAACGTGCACGCACAAACACACAGGGCCTTGGAACGTGAGCCTTCTTCTATCAGCTCCCGTGGCATTGGCCATAGGGAAGGGAAGAGAGGAAGATGGGAAGAGATAAAGAGAGGGAGAGGAGAGGGAGAATCAGCCAGGAGCACACTGCTCAACCTTTTTAAAGATGGATGTGCATAGTAATAATCTCCCTCCTCAACCGCATGCTGTGCCAAAACAATTTGTTTTTCATTACACAGCTGATTAAATCATGTTACACAAATTCTGGAAAATCACACAAATATCTGGGAGGAAAGGAAAGGGAGAGAAAGCGTCTGTTCCTGGGTCAGATCTAATTGGTGTTTATGATTGTTTGTGCCCAGATCCATTACCAGAGACTTAATCAGATTGCCACAGCCTGGGATGGAGTTGATATATGCACGTGTGTGACGGTGAGTTGTGTGACGGTGTGTGTTATTTGTCAAGTGTGTGTGAGCTGAGGAGAATCAGTTGACAATAGTGTCAGCAGTGTACCTGCTGCAGCCAGCCAGGAGGTTGAGGGAGGTGGATGCAGACAGACCTGCAATCTCTCCTTCATCTCTATAATGGTCCATTACAATACAGTACAGTAGGGCTGTATTGTGGCCCAGCACTGCCATGTCCTCTCTCTCCAGACTCTAAAGGCGTCCGCACGCTTCAGTTCGGCTGGCGCCTACCCGAACTCGGCTAGCCAAACCAAACTAGTGTTCTCGCATACTCCATTAAAAAACATTCGCTTGACAAACTAGAAAAAAGCGCCATAGTACTTTGTCCATTTTGAGACTCCGTAGCCAGACTCCTCAAAATAGTCAGAATTAAAGAGAACTCAAGAAATGTGTCATTGATTTTGATGTTTTTGCGGAGGAGATCTTAGTCGGGCAACTTTACATCTAACTAAGATGTTACGTGCAGTATTTCTCAATAATTTATTTTGCATGAAAACGAGTCATCTCTCGTTGAATGCATTTGGAAAGCATTCAGACCCCTTGACTTTTTCCCCATTTTGTTACGTTACAGCCTTATTCTAAAATGGACTTAATCGTTTTTTTCCCTTATCAATCAACAAACAATACCCCATAATGGTAAAGCAAAAACTGTTTTTATAAATGTTTGCAAATGTATTAAAAATAAAAAACTGAAATATTACACTTACCTAAGTATTCAGACCCTTTACTCAGTACTTTGTTGAAGCACCTTTGGCAGCAATTACAGCCTCAAGTGTTCTTGGGTATGACGCTACAAGCTTCCCATTCTTCTCTGCAGATCCTCTCAAGCTCTGTCAGGTTGGATGGGGAGCGTCGGTACACAGCTATTTTCAGGTCTCTCCAGAGACGTTAGATCGGGTTCATGTCCGGACACTGGCTGGGCCATTCAAGGACATTCAGAGACTTGTCCCGAAGCCACTCCTGTGTTTCTTGGCTGTTGGAAGGTGAACCTTCGCCCCAGTCTGAGGTCCTGAGCGCTCTGGAGCAGGTTTTCATCAAGGATCTCTCTGTACTTTGCTCCGTTCATCTTTCCCTCGATCCTGACTAGTCTCCCAGTCCCTGCCGCTGAAAAACATCCCCACAGCATGATGCTGCCACCACCATGCTTCACCGTAGATATGGTTCCAGGTTTCCTCCAGACGTGATGCTTGGCATTCAGGCCAAAGAGTTCCATCTTGGTTTCAACAGACCAGAGAATCTTGTTTATCATGGTCTGAGAGTCCTTTAGGTGCCTTTTGGCAAACTCCAAGCGGGCTGTCATGTGCCTTTTACAGAGGAGTGGCTTCAGTCTGGCCACTCTACCATAAAGACCTGATTGGTGGAGTGCTGCAGAGATGGTTCTCCCATCTCCACAGAGGAACTGGAGCTCTGTCAGAGTGACCATCAGGTTCTTGGTCACCTCCCTGACCAAGGCCCTTCTCCCCCGATTGCTCAGTTTGGACGGGCAGCCAGCTCTAGGAAGAGTCTTGGTGGTTCCAAACTTCTTCCATTTAAAAATGATGGAGGCAATTGTGTTCTTGGGGACCTTAAATGCTGCAGAATTGTTTGGGTACCCTTCCCCAGATCTGTGCCTCGACACAATCCTGTCTCGGAGCTCTACGGACAATTCCTTCGACCTCATGGCTTGGTTTTTAATATGACATGCACCGTCAACTGGGGGACCTTATATAGACAGGTGTGTGCCTTTCCAAATCATGCCCAATCAATTGAATTGACCACAGGTTGACTCCAATCAAATTGTAGAAACATCTCAAGGATGATCAATGGAAACAGGATGCACCTGAGCTCAATTTAGAGTCTCATAGCAAAGGGTCTGAATACTTATGTAAATAAGGTATCTGGTTTTTATTTTCAATACATTTGCAAAAATTGCTTTGTCATTATGGGGTATTGTGTATTGATGAGAAAAAACATGTATTTAATCAATTTTAGAATAAGGCTGTAATGTAACAAAATGTGTTAAAGTCAAGGGGTCTGAATACTTTCCGAATGCACTGTACTTTACTGAAGAATCCCTACTACTGACCAATCACCGATGATGGGGCGTAAACTTCGGCCTGCCTCAAGTGTTCCCGAACAGCCGAAAAAACCCTTACGAACAAAAACTTCAAAATGTCATCATAATATATGCACAAACTCTTCCGAACTGTGTCGGCTGGGAAGCATGCGGACACCTTAAGAGCTGCATTTAACCTGAACTTTTTTAATTTAATCTGGACTGCACTGTGCCCTCCCTCAGTTGGTCTCTCTTTCTTCCTTCCTCCCTTAGTTGCCGTCTCCCTCGCTCTCTCCCTCCCACTCAGTCTCTGTTGGTCTCTCTCCCGCCCTCTCAGTCTCTGTTGGTCTGCCTCCCTCCCGCTCTCTCGGTTGGTCTCCCTCTCTGTTGGTCTCTCTCCCTCCCTCTCTCCCTCTCTGTTGGTCTCTCTCCCTCCTTATATATCCCTGACTGTCTCCCTCCTTCCCCTCACGGCAGACATATGAACATATTACCATCCATCCGTGGTCTATGTGTCAAATCCCTTCCTAAGCCCTCTGATGAGAGCTAAATCCCCAGGAAGAATCACAACAGGGAGCACAGGGGAGCCCAAAACAAGCACACGGCTAAACCTAAAGGGACAGGGTTGAGGATGAGTGGGGTTCAAATGCCACATTTACATTACAGGGAGGGACCTCTACTACCCCTCTCTCTTGAAACAACTAAACTATCCATCTTCCTCTCCCACTGGGTAGGCTACAGTCCAGTTCAGTGGCATTTACCCATTCCTCTTATGGGAAAGAAAGAGAGACGCAGGCTGGCACTAACAAATGTGCAGCTCTGAGTACATGACGTAGTGGCTGACAGGACCTTGAGAGAACACAAACAGCCTGCTGGACAATGAACTAACAGTAGCTCTGTGATACACTCCACTTCACTCCAGTTAGATGCCAATGCTTTTGTATCTGGGCAGCGTGCACACAGAAAGGATACTGGAGCTTTGGCTTACTGCTTCCTGTTGTTAGCTCTTAGTTCTAAACCTGATCTCCTCTCCATATCTCTTACTCTTCCTCGCACAGGGCGAAAGGGGAGCTATAGATCCGCAGTTAAGGGCTTAATTAAATTCCTTAAATCACGCCAGCCTTCCATGTCCTGGGGGGCTGAGGAGGCCGGGTGGGGTATTTGGGGATCATTGTAGGAGACTAGCGCCAGGAGTTCGTCTGGTAGTGCCCTAGAGTAGTGTCCTGGGAGAGCGCCTTGCTGCTGGAGATCTAGCACAGAGGGAGGGTCTCCGTCAGGACTAGACAGCTACTCCAGTGGCTCTTTCACAGGGGCTGCAGCAGCCCCCCCCCCCCCCCCAGCCCCTCAGGAGGCATTTTGTTTTGGGGATACTCAGATAAGGTTAAGATTAAGGTTAATGTTGCTTATCGTGTTGCACAAGTATGAACGTGATCCTTTAATGGAGATGTTTTCCAAAACAACCACGTCTGCCAATCCAATTACAGGTAATGTGTAATAGCTTACATACATCCGAGTCTGACGTAATCTCTGAACCCCTCCCTTTGGCCCAGTGGCACCAATCCTCTCACCATCAACTATCAACTTCAGGCTATCCTGGTTTCATCAGGCCAGAGCTAAAAACGGCTGCTGTAATTCATATTTGAGGGACGGCCAACACTAGATGAAGCGGTGCTCCTGTGTGTCAGTGTGAAAAACCTCAATGGCTTCTCTAATTGGGCCACTCGGAATCTAGGCTTATTAATCAAACCACTTTCCCCAGATTCTCGGGATTGATTGCACAGCCTGAGAGTGAACCGCAAAGAGTACATCTGCTAAAGCTGCCATATTTCATATCAAGACGGAGGGAAAAAAAGAGAGTTGGCTTTAACTTTGTGTGATGACATCCGCTTTAACTAAAAGTTCAACTAGATCAGAGAGTAGTTTCCTGCTTGCCATTTTATAAGAGGGAAAAGGGGAATTCTAAAAGATACATCAAATGGAGCTATTATTCTCTGAGGAGGGAGACTCATTTTTTATTATGAGAGCTAATACATCAGGCCTTGCTGGACCTGCTCTCTGTTCCCGGAATACAAATGCTCCATTGAAAAGCGTTGAAGTGCAGCTAACGACATGACGTCTACTCTACGGTACCAATATAGAACCGGTCTTACTGAATCACCACCTACTGATGAGAGCAAATCAAATCAAATCAAATTTGATTTGCCACATGCGCCGAATACAACAGGTGTAGACCTTACAGTGAAATGCTTACTTACAAGCCCATAACCAACAATGCAGTTTTTTAAAGAAAAATGTAGAATAAAAAAGTGTTGATAAAAAAAATAAAAGCAAATAGCTAAAGAGCAGCAGTAAAATAAAATAGCAGTGGGAAGGCTATATACAGGGGGGTACCGGTACAGAGTCAATGTGCGGGGGCACCGGCTAGTCGAGGTAATTGAGGTTATATGTACATTTGGGTAGAGTTAAAGTGACTATCCATAAATAGTAAACAGAGTAGCAGCACACCAGGGCCCTGTGATCAAACCGTTTACAGTGAATTACATCTACGGGAGGCAGACACTTGATTTTTATATACACTGAACAAAAATATAAAACGCAACATGCAACAATTTCAAAGTTCATATAAGGAAATCAGTCAATTGAAATATATTCATTAGGCCCTAATCTATGGATTTCACATGACTAGGAATACAGATATGCATCTGTTGGTCACAGATACCTTAAAAGAATAAGAAGGGGCGTGGATCAGAAAACCAGTCAGTATCTGGTGTGACCACCATTTGCCTCATGCAGCGCGACATCTCCTTCGCATAGAGTTGATCAGGCTGTTGATTGTGGCCTGTGGAATGTTGTCCCACTCCTCTTCAATGGCTGTGCAGTTGCTGGATATTGTCGAGAACTGGAACACGCTGTCGTACACGTTGATCCAGAGCATCCCAAACATGCTCAATGGGTGACATGTCTGGTCAGTATGCAGGCCATGAAGGAACTGGGACATTTTCAGCTTTCAGGAATTGTGTACAGATCCTTGCAACATGGGGCCGTGCATTATGAAATGCTGAAACATGAGGGGATGGCGGCGGATGAATGGCACAACAATGGGCCTCAGGATCTCGTCACGGTACTATGTGCATTGAAATTGCCATCGATAAAATGCAATTGTGTTCGTTGTCCGTAGCTTATGCTTGCCCATACCATAACCCCACCGCAACCATAGGGCACTCTGTTTACAACGTTGACATCAGCAAAGCGCTCACCCACGTGACGCCATGCACGCCATCTGCCCAGTACAGTTGAAACCGGGATTCATTCGTGAAGAGCCCACTTCTCCAGCATGCCAGTAGCCATCGAACGTGAGTATTTACCCACTGAAGTCGGTTACGACGCCGAACTGCAGTCAGGTCAAGACCCTGATAAGGACGACAAGCACGCAGATGAGCTTCCCTGAGACGGTTTCTGATAGTCTGTGCAGAAATTCTTCGGTTTTGTTGAAGAAGCTGGATGTGGAGGTCCTGGGCTACCGTGGTTACACGTGGTCTGCGGCACATTCCATATGTTACAAAAACGAATGGCTTTGTTTCGCTCCACTTCTCTGCACCTGTCCATCACGTCATTTGGTGAAATAAATAAGCAATCTGCCAGGCGTAAGCAGGGATGCTACTGACAGCACTGTTGCTGACAGCACTGCTGCTATGGGTTTGGTGGGGTAAATGGGACTAGTGATGAGGATGAGCCAGTTTTTTGGGGGGCCGTCTTTTGAAAAAGGATAGGGTACAAAGATTATTTATCTAAAAATAAAAAAATTAAATGGTTTTATTGGACATGTTAAATCAGGCCATATTCAACTGGTTGAATTTAAAATGATGTGACACCAGACCACGTTGCTATACTCCTGGAGTACACATTGAGTATACCAAACATTAGGAACACCTTCCTAATATTGAGTTACACCCCACTTTTGCCCTCAGAACAGCCTTAATTCGTCAAGGTAGGGACTTTACAAGGTGTCTGTCGAAAGCATTCCTCAGGGATGCTGGTCCATGTTGACTCCAATGCTTTCCACAGTTGTGTCAAGTTGGCTGGATGTCCTTTGGGTGGTGGACCATTCTTGATACACACGGGAAACTGTTGAGTCTGAAAAACCCAGCAGCGTTACAGTTCTTGACACAAATTGGTGCGCCTGGCACCTACTACCATACCCCGTTCAAAGGCACTTAAATATTTTGTCTTCAAATTCAACCTGTGTCCTCTCCTTCATCTACACTGATTGGAGTGGATTTAACAAGTGACATCAATAAGGGATCATAGCTTTCACCTGTATTCACCTGGTTAGTCTATGTCATGGAAAGAGCATGTTTTGTTTTGTATACTCAGTGTATTGAACACATAAGTAGGCTCCAAAGACAGGCATATTACCAATGAGGTTATTCTGACCACATGAAATAATTAGTCAACTGCAATTTAATGCCAGATATATAATCATGGTTAACCTTCGGAGAAAAACAAATCAACCTGTTCCGTATGCTATTGTATGCTTACATTACACAATGCACAGCAAGGTACAGTCAATGTACAAAAAGAGCAATGCAGCAATTTGCTTGATAAGGAGTGGGCCGTGGGGGTGATGAACTATTACCCCTGCTGTGCTGGTTTTCACCACCCCACTAGCTTGAATGGATAAAAAAAGATTACTCACAGCAGCGGCCTTCGATTATATTTGACTCTATATTCCTAACCGGGGAAATAAATAATATACTGAACAAAAATATTAACGCAACATGCAACAATTTCAAAATGTTGCTATGATTTTATTGGTGTTGTGCCACTAGCTCCCAAAATATGCCATTACACTGGCTTTGCCTGTGTTGAAATGATAAGGCAACGTCTTTCAAATTGCTCTTCTTGTCTCCATCTCTGGAAGGGCAAATTCACAACGATCATCCCCCCGAAGGATCCATACCAGGGTAATGAAAACAAGTCATGTTGCACTAGGAACATGCTATCTTGAGAAAGCTTATCTTGAATAAAATATAGCCTAGTTTGGCTCTGGCCAGATAACAAACATGAATATAACATCAGTGACACTGTGCCATGTGTGATAATGCTGGACACAGACACACACACACACGCACGAACATGCGCAAACACACACACACACACACACACACACACACACACACACACACACACACAGCCGTGTGTCCCTAACCAAACACACTCCTCTAACAATTTCCCATTTAATTGAATTTAGGTAGGTTAAGTCAAGTTAAACTGAACATTTGATTTGGGAATCCTTTATCTTGCTTATGGTACTAATAAAATGAGATGGGAGGGGGTGCGGAGAGGAGATAAGCCCAAGGAAATGGATTCTGAGGAAATATTTCATAGTGTCGGACTGAGAGGGAAAGCACTGATTCAGTGGCAGGGTTCATCGGCCAGCACACTCTCTGGCAGTCCGGGAGGAAGAGAAGAGTGGAGGGGAAGAGAAAGGAAGGAAGAAAGGAGGAAGAGACTGACTGGAGAAAATGTTATCTTAGTCCTCCACCTTCAAAGGATGCCTGAGTGGCGTGGCGTGCCAGGTGGTGTGCGAAGCAATACAAAGACGCTAAAGAAGAGCACACGTCAGTCCCACCTGAGAGCTAGCATTAATAATGAAATAATACGAAGTTAGATGTTTATTCATGAGAGACATCTTCCTCTGTAGAACTTTAGACTGGAGATCCAAAGGAAGTCCGTAAAACTTTTTTGAACTTGGGTCTCACTTCATGGACTGTTGATATTAGGGAAACTCTAAGTCACACTGACACAATTTTATGTGAGGTTAGTAATGGACAGTCCAAAGGGGTTTGGAGTTAAGGACGAAGCTTAGAGTCTATTAGAGAGCTGCTGAGGCTGAGGGTTAGGGGGCTACTGTGAGGTGCTGCTACTGTCTCTAGTGCATTGAAAGGCCTCCTCTGATCCTCTCCAGACAAGCTGAGAGAGTGTCTTTCTGTCCATCTGTCTGTCTGGTACACCTGCAGACTGGGGTTGTAAAGCTACCGGTAATTACCTTCAGTAATTTGGGTAATTAACAGAAAAGTTACTCATTTTTTTTCTAGCTTTCAAATAGGCACATTCTTCTCTTCTCCTTTCACCTGCAACTCTTCCCCAGGTCTTTAGTGTACAAGAGAAAGTAGTGCACTATGTTTTCTGTCAATATACCTGGTAAAATAATGGTTAATAAACAACTAAGGGGGGCCCTATAAAACCTGTGATTGTCTCCCAAAATTATGTTTTATATTTTCTCAAATTATGTTTTCTCAGTTATATTTTTCCTGGTTTTAGATTGTTTTGGTTTTTCACTCTCAAAATTAAAACATTTCATAGAGAAACAATGAAATTGGATGTTCTGAGTCCATGTTAATGTGTCCCACCAAAATTTGAGGCCTTCCTCTTGGCCGCAGAGACAAAAAAATTATGTTTTAATGTAACTGCTCAGTGTTGCCAGATTTCTATGAAATATGACCTATAATGTCTTACAATATGAGTGAAATAGTTTTCCTTCCACAAATTGGTAATTAAGTATGTTAAAAATCATATTTTCTGTGTTGGAATGGTCTGGGCCTAGAACTAATTTGTTGGTCTTCCAGCCACTGTGGCAGGTAGATTCAAAAATATACATATCTTTGCCAAAATTACACACACAAAAACCCTGACAAAAACGGACAAGCATGCTTTGTAATGTTTCTAAAACAATACATGTATTACTAGTAACAAGTAATGTGGTATATTGCTTCATTTCATTTAATTTTTTGTGACCTGAGTCTTTCAACCAAAATATCAGAGAGACAAAAACCTTCACCTGCCCCTTTAAGGGCGGGAGGTTACCGTGGTAACGCAACTGAGTCATGTTTGTGCCTGTGAAATTGTGAGAGTCTGACTAGTAGCAGCGTCTTCATCTCTTCCCTAGCAGTTGAAACTAAAACATTGAAAAACAACCTAGCTTGTGAACAAAACAATGTAAATAGCAAAGAAACACAAGGACAAAGTCTCACTTCAGAAGACTTTCGTTTCAAGTAAATTAGACCAATATTTATGCCTGCGCGCAGCACTTCTAAAAATTAGGTGAGATAGGCTATAGGATTCGTAGTTCTTTGACTTTATGCAATGAATTTACCAGATATGAAACAAAACAGCAGAAATACTTTGAAAACAGCTGCTGCAGTATTTATTTTACATTACTATTTTTATTCACAAATGCGAGTGAAATGCTCGCACTGTGGAGCCCTGACCACCCACCAACGTGGCCAGTGAAATAGACAGCTTACCCACCAATGCAAAAATCAACCCATTTTTGGTGGGTGTTAACTTTAGGCCCTGGTCTAGGCGTACCCCAACAACAGAATGGTGTGGGCGTATACAGGGCATTAAACATATTCATGCAAGTAGACTGATTGGCCAGCTCATCCTCCTCTAGACCGCTGATTGGCCAGCTCATCATCTCGAGGAGTATTACATCATACTCTATGAGGAAATAGCAAGCATTTCTTAAAGTTTGAGGTGGCTTTTGTTTCTCCAATTGAAGCTTTGGACACAAATTCAAGTATAGGACAAATCAACATCATTATTTGGGTATGAGTTAACAGAATATGAAGTTTTAAGTGAGATTTTGACTGGGCAGTTACTTTAAAGCGAATGTCCTACTATTCTAAACATTTTGCAATGGGCTGGAGAGAACATTTTATTTTTAAAGCTAGTTTCTTGCAATTCTACACATTTTGCCATGGCTTATGTCATGTTCTTATGCTATCTGAGTGACTCAAACATAACTAAATCAATGTGCCGTGCCATGCCATGCCATTTTGTAAAACAAATTAGCTTCTCCCTGACTGTCTAGTGTTTATTCTGGTGGTTGTTAGATCTCAAAGAATATCTTATTTACAAATATATAGCTCCATTATATTTTCTACATACTTTATATCTGGTTTTAGTGGTTTGATGTTTACAATGTTTTACCATCCTGAAAATTAGTTTGTAAAAAATAAATAAAACAAACAAATAAAACAACAATTACATCATATTTTTTGGAGTGGCGGATACACAGAGGACCAGAGATAATTACAGACACCTGTGATTATCTGAAGTACCAAAAAGGGTCACTAGATGTCTTGTGATAGATTACATAAAATCTTTGAAGAAATTCTGGTAGTTTACTGGTAAACTTAGAACGTTTCCAGTAATGTATCCTCCCTTTGCAACCCTCCTGCAGACACCAGTTGTAATCGCATCACTGTCAACTCCTCAATGAGAGTGGAAATGTCCTCCGCTCCACTAGTCTCCCTCATCTCCCCAAACATTAGCAGGCTCACAGAGTACAGTGTTTCAATTCCACGGCTTCAATGGTGATGGGAACTGTTTTACTATATGTGTATTTATGTTACATGGCTAAAACATGCTTCTCCCTCTAATATATTTTCGAACACATCAAACAGTAGTATGTTCTTGCGTGTGCTAGTTAACTGTTCTCGGAAAGGTATGAGCCTCTTTGCACTGCTCATGGAAAACTAAGAAGATAAGATGTCCCAATGCATACATGACCTTCATTATTATCTAGAAGCTATGTTGATCAAGTCACAAAGTGAATATGTAACTGACCTGATGTTTCTGTACTGACCAATGAGAATGTACATGTTGTGTAGAAGTTGACTGTATATGAGGAGATGTAAAACTTAGGTTTGGCAAGGTATTCGTCTGAGCACGACCTCTTCCATCACGATGTAAATAAATAATTGATTAGGATTCAAGCATTCACAAACTCAGAACCCTACAATGGTTTTGAAACTGTATCATGTATCATGAAAGTAATGTCTGTTCCATTTGCCCTTCAGGAGAAAATCGCAGATGCAAACGTTTCAAGGGAAGAATTAAGATGCAGTGTTTGATTTCACATAAATGAATCTAGTCATGTAGCTAGCACAAATATTTTACCATTGCCTCTTTGATGAAAGGTTTAATACATTTTTGTAGTGTTTCACAGAAGTAAAAACACAATCAGTTATGTTTCAAATGGCTAATTAAATGATCTAATCGCCCTGGCATTGTTTTCTTTGATTATTCTAGTGGTACGATTATTTGATTTGAATGTAAACCACCAGATGAAAAAACTTTTTTCAAAAACAAATACATTTCCTCCCCTGCAGACGGATGAAAAGAAAGGGAGACAAACAAGTAGAGAACGGAGAGAACAGAAGAGATGAAGCTAATCAGATGTTGTTCCTGGGTCACATAATCAATTAGCAGCTAATGAGGTGGCAAGCCTGTGTGCCAGGGACTCTCTAACTCATTGGAGGACCATCCTGATTCCTCCATCTGTGACCTTAAGAGGACTTCTCTCAGCACGATAGCCATGCACACTAGGATGACTCAATCATACATTTTTGGGGGGTCAATTACCAACAATAAATGGCCTCATTTAATGATCCATGAGAGCTTTGACCCAGTCCATACTCACAGTGAAATGCATGGCTAGGTTCATCTGGAGGTCCACAGAAGGGAGGATGAGGAAGAGAGGAAAACAAGGATAGAGGTAAGGGTCTATGGACCTGGAGAGAGAGTGAGAGAGTGAGAAAGGGATGGAGCATGCTTTGACCATGATCCCTTGGGGTACCCACAGTACCAAAGATCAGTTCTGGCTCAGTCTGTGTCAAGGCTGTAGCACAGTGGTCAGAGTAAATGTAACCAGATTTCTGTATGGGGGCTTATGTAAAATGTAAGTGATTTGCTTTTTGGGAAAGTTGTGCTGCTGATAAACTTGATAAACTTGTTATCCCACTTAGGAGACAAGTAGGAGAAAATGCCCTTGAACATTTTTATGAGATTTCCACAGTTGCTAGAGAGTGCTTCTTTGTTTACGCCCATTCAGCATCGTTCACACCCTCTTAAGCCCCACCCATCTCTTTAAGAATTCACATGTAAACGCATGGCCAAACGTCAGCATTGTCAACCCCTCCATTATCTCAGCCAATCATGGCTAGCCAGGAACGACCCTGTCTTTCTCCCTATATAGCTTAGTGCTTTCTCCTTGGCTAAACTAGGCTCATAATTGAAATGTTCTATTCATATTTATGGATACCATACAAGTTTGTCATTAAGGCACATTAAAGTTCATATGTTCAAGAAGGCATTTCTGAAAAATATATATTTTTAAACGACCCTCCTGTGAAGTAGGAACTAGCATCAATTGCCGCCGATCCTACGTTGTGTCTCAAATCAATCGTTTTCTTGCTCTCCCATTAGCCCTGGTTCCTACCATCCCTTCAAATGCTGGATGTGCATGGATTGGAAGTAGTAGCCTTTAAAAGCCTCTGTATCCGACCCACCTCCTCATTAAACCACTTATAGAGTGGCAGCTCTAATGTGTCACTGCTCTCCGTAGCCAGGGCATGCTACCTACTCCAGCAGTTAATGACTGTTATTGGAGGTGAAGTTCTCTCTCTTATGTGAGGACTGATGATGTAGAGCGGGTCTACATATAGCCGTCATCCTCTTTAGAAAGGGCTGGAGGCCAGGAGGGTTGGTCTCAGGTCAATAGGCTTACAGGTGTAGGAATCTCCCTCTACAGATACTCTGTTTTTGAAACATATTTTCTACAAAATAGACTAAGGCCTACATAACTGTTGAGCACAAATTATCTGCTATGACTGCAACATTATGTTACTCCCGCCTCTGCTAAGCACAAAAGGATGTAAACTAGGATGTAAAGTTTGAAAACTTATCAGTGTTAAAAATCTTGGGAATGGTCTTCTAAAACATTCAAAGTCACTTGGCTTAACTTTAACTGTTCTCTGAGGAGTGTACAGGAAAACTGCCTGTGGCTGTCTGAAATTGGGTTACTGGTTCTAACCCATCTGATGTAAGTGGGTGAGAGCGTGTCCCTCCACTTAAAGTAGGACAAAGTGCAGATTCCAAAATAGCCCAATCTTTCCTCCTTTCATTACAGGTAAAATGGCTGTCATCTTTGAATTGGGTTACGCTGTTGCTGTCGACAATTCACGGGTCAAATACATGTATTTAACAGCTCATTGCAGTAGCCTGGTTACGAGCCCTTGTACTTTCGTAAGAGGGGAAGAAAGGTGAAGAACCATCTGTAAAAATAAATAAATAATAATAGACAGGCTTAAAAATAAATACATGTTTATGCCATTTAGCAGACGTTTATCCAAAGCAACTGACATTAATGTGTGCATAGATGGGTTAGCTGACAACGTCACGAAAACGATGCGCACGCTGAAATGGGGCAGAAGTCTGAGTTGTTGTGATTCAGGATGGCCAGTTGGTTACCGACAATGACAAGAAACTGCCATGTGGGGAATCGTAAGTGACTCGTTTCAGCTAATTTGATCTTGTTCTTGACACCATGTCTTGTTTTGAGGTGTTTCGACTGATTTCATGTCAATACTAATATGGCTAAAATTTGCTAGCTAGCTAACCAACAACTGTAACGATGTACTGTATTTGAGAGACAACAAGTGCTCATTGTGCAAATGTATTTATGTTTTCAATAAACATTGGAGACTAAATATATTTTACATGTCAACAATCTAAGCCAACCCTGTCTGTTTTGCTCATAGTTGCACACAACCAACCCCTCTATACATTTTAAGGATAGGGGTGGTCCCGGAAATCGAACCCACTATCCTGGCTTTGCAAGTGCCATGCTTTACCAACTGAGCTACAGAGGACCACAGACTCATCCACGTACACACATTAACACAAACACAGATGAAACGAGAAGTAATGTTGTTGATCAATATCAATCCTCTCTTTCTATCTGCAAGGAGAGAACAGTGAGTTTAGATTCAGAATTCCCCAAAGGGACCACTTCTCCCTCTTAAGAGCTTTCTTAGAAACAAGCACCAACAAAATGTTCAGATGAAAAACACAGGGAAGAGGGCTGGCCAGACATAACCTCCAACAAGAAAATGAGTCACAAACAAAACCTGCCAAGAGGCTTTTGACAGCACACAGCGTTCGTCTTGTTAGTCATCACATTAACGAGAGAGAATGAGTGGGAGAGCTGCTGTGTCTCTCTTAACACAGCTCACTATTAAGTGGATGTTGCTCCCAACTGATGCTGATCTGCTTGTTATAGTCTCTAGACAGCAATCATATACATATGCCAGGCTCTACATTAACTTGCATACTAAGGGAAGCCTATTCCTTTTTCCCATATCAAAAAGCAATTCAGCTTTTTGCTCCTATGCCTTACCATCACCATATCAGAAATGACATCTGTGGTCGAGGTCTGGTGGGCTCTAAATAAGCTAGCCCAGCTATGGTTCAGTGGCGCGGTAAATTCATCATTGACACCAATCTGTTGAGGCCCCTGGGGGCCCGTGGTGGGGTGAGGGCCAGGCGTGGGCAGTCCTCTGCTCTACCTCCAACCACCATGTGATGATGTGTGCAGAAAGCCCTTTCTTTCGCGGGGAGAAATTAATTTGTTACACCGACCCGCACAGCCATCTCCATGACAACCTGGGTTTTAATGAATATCTGACAAACTGGGCTGTTGTCTCACTGGGGAAAAATGTGAAAAGAATGCATTCACATGGCGGTTGACTTGAGCTTTTTACTGAAGTGAGACAGGGTTCTCCCTCCTGGCTATTAAAAACATTACAGAGTGTGGAGGTATGTGAGAAAAGATAACATATTACATATCAAGCTAAAGACATTTATTTCATTTGGTACAGTAATAATGCTACCAAGCCACCCACATGTTCAGTTTCTGTGATATTTCTTGAAGGATGAGCTATGTGGATTCGACCCTGACAAAAATCTCTCTCCCTGTTCTTGGTTGTGGCAATGGTTGTGCAGTGAGCGGGAAGGGTTGTGTGTGAGTGTGTAAATAAGGACTCTCTCAGGCCTTGGACTGATGGGGCAGAGCACGCTACGCTGGCTGCAGGAGACTGAAGCAGACAGGACTTAACAGAGAGGCTGTTTATTCTCATGGCTGAGACCAGCCACTGGTGTTACACGCCCCCCTCCTTCCTCTTCCTCCCTCCTTTATCCCCCTCTTCCTTCACACTTGAGGCCCCCTGCTGCTTTTACCCACCGTGCAGCAAGTTGTTTAGCGTCTGTAGAAAAACAATTTCCAAACCCAATAAAAATCATCCAACAGGTTTGCCCCTCGAGAGTACCCTCTGTCCTCCAGACTCCATCACAACTCTCTCTCTCTCGCCCCCTGTCCCTCTCTACCACCCCCCTCTCTCCCTCCCTCTCCCTGTTCTGAGCGATGTGGGTGGCTAGACTCACCCCTCAGCTCAGGGGGGCTACCATAAGGGCAAGGAGAGGGATGAAGGGAAGGGAAGGGAACAAGACTCCCATGGAGGGCTGCTCAAGAAAAACGATCACTTTGGATTGGTTAGCCAGGCCAAACCTGGTCAGACTCAGGGCTGTATTGTTCTGAAGTGGTTTCTGTCTGGAGCAGGGAGGGAGCCATGGCAGCTATAGACTCTGTAGCCTAGATGCTGGGCAGAGGCCATTCAGAGTAAGGTGCAGATAGAATAACAATCTAGCGGCAGGCTCGGTTTGCAAGAGCATCATAACAAAATATGTATGTCAAGGTCCAGACAATTGTAGTCAAAACACTGGCTTATCAATCAACACAGACACCATTCCTCACTTCTGTGGT